CTTTACTTTATAAGCATTTTAATGTTTGTAACTCAACAATATTTAAGCCTACAATTCTACAATATATTGTATACTGGATATAGTCCAGTATCCTACAATGTATCCTAAAGCACTAAGAATACCAATGTGTAACCAAGATAGCTTGTTCATATTGGGATTTTTATGCATTGCAAATTTGCTCTCTTGAATACATTTAGATTTTTTTTTTCTAATTATACCAGTGTTTCAGATCATCTCTTTTGAGCAGATAGCAGAGGTGAACAGGTTGCACAGCATTCTGTGATATTTGCATAAATATATTAGCAAGACTTGATAGCACAGAGACCTATGCTGACTAACCACAGCATGTGCCACTTTTAAAAAATGTAGTCTATTTTACTGGTACTTCTAATGCTTCTGGAGTTTTATCATATTCATTCACGTACTTGCAATATAGAAATCTGCAAATGACAAAGACAAGGACATATAATATCTCCTTTTCAATTTACAAGCCTTCTTTAAGCAAGTGTCTTTTTAACATGATATGTTACTTTTAACTTAAGCTCAAATTCTAGAAACCACAGTTTCTGCTTAGATATCAGAGAATGACTATGTCCTACTGTGTGCCACTTCTACAGTATTTTCTCTTTTCCCAAGATCACATAATGCCTCCCATGCCACAACTTGATGGCTTGATTTTGTTTATAGGTATGTCTTTAAGATACTAGCATCTGTGAAAGTGCCCTCTGGGCATCCAGAAAGAAAAGGGATAAACAAAACATTAAAAAATAGCTTTTCTGTTGTTATTAACATTGATGAATAGCACTAATTGGGAAGAATAGGCTGACGGTGCTGAGCTAATATCCTTAAATGTTTTGCCTCATGCAATTAGTATTCCCCTGACACACATCCATTTAAGCTATTGGAAAAGTGCCATGTGTTCATAGCCTTGTCATCCCATTTAACAAATGGTCCTGTCAAACCATTCCTCATAGCTTCTTTTGACTGATAACTGAATTTAAGGTCTCCTCCTATAAGTACTGCATGCCAAAATATACCTGTGGCCAACATGCATCAGAGAATTTTTAATCAGCCATTCATTTATGAACTACTCGTTCATCTTCAGTATTTATTTTGTAATTAAATAGTGCAGACGTAGAAAAAAAAGTAGCTTTAATGAAAACAAATCTTTGAAAAAGTATTTAATTTTTCCTTAGCACATTTTAGAAAATAACAATGTCCCGGTGCATACCGGTACTAAAACCTGAAAAGTTTATTACTGTAAGTGCAATTTATTTTCATTTTGCACCTGAAATACCATACAAATACATTGTATTATTGTATTACATTACTTCACGAGCCCAGGTTCTAGAAATTCAGAGTGCACAGGGCTAAAGCTAAACTTATAAATCATATCAAAACAGGTCACCTCAGAACTGTGCATCTGTTCTTGTACCATTATATTATAACTCTAGATCAACATTAGAACAACACTGAGGACCACAGAGGCCAGATTACTGAATATTGTGACATGTTTTCATGGATCTCTTTACTAAAAATTACAAATAGTGTTTTGGACATGGCTCATGCCAGACTTGACAGCTATTGAACAATGACCTGCTTTTTACGTGTACAGTTTGTATTTCTGAAACTTGGAAGTCATCTGAAACTTCATGGTGTGTACATTGTGTATATAGAAACAATAGCTCCACCACTAGATGTGTACGTGTTCATTATAGCAACCCAGAGCCTATCCCATAAACTTAGTGTCTTCAAAATTAAATTACTAATCTGTTACAAACTGAGAATTTCCCATTCATTTTTGTCTTTAATATATATCATATCAAATTAATTTTGAAGTTGGACAGTTGCATTATTTCCTTTTTTATTTCATTCATTCTGTGATTAGCAGCAGCATTCTGGTTCCTTTCTGTCTGCCTTTTTCCTCATTTCCTATGATACACTGTAAGAAAAATATCAAAACCACATTCTTATACTCCATGTTAATGATAATTATGGATGGAAAAGACATTTTTCCATGATTGAAATGTACTGTTGCCAGTTTGCCGATACTAAATAATATTAATACTAAAATGCTGAGATATTATTGATATTAATAACTCAGCCATTGCAATAACATACAGTATATTCATTTTTTTAACTGTGTGTTTGCCTTCTGTGCTCTATCTTTTATATCTTCTTAAAAACAAGAATCTAAGTTGGAAATTTGCATACTTTTCATCACTACACATGACATTGATGAGTTTAGTACTTTGCATCAAATTAAAAGCAGTTGGCAGGAAGGTTCTTAGTAACAGTTTTCCCAGACATCTGTTTACATGTTGGAACAGGTGCTTAATCTTAAAAACACGCACTTTACCCATTAAAAAGCAAATTTGCAAAACGGATTCTAATCTCATCTTTGAAGATCATGCAGCCCTTTGCTTATCTGCAGCGGCAAAGTTATTTATCTTTCAAGCTTTGTTAACTATATGCATGGTCTTAATTATTTTATGGAGTTTTTGCTTGAATTTTAATTAGACTGTATTAAGTTTACACAGTTGCAATTTACCAGTGGTAACTCACCATCTGGATTTAAAAAACAGAGCAGGTAGTTTACAAACATCAAACTTCAATCCATCCATTATCTATAACCACTTCATCCTTCAGAGGTTGTGATGAACTAGAGCCTAAAGCAGCAGGGTGCAAAGCAGGATTACGCTCCAGACTGAGTGCCAGAGTGCATCACGGGGCACTCGTATAGAGATAATTTAGAGATGCTAATTAACCTAATAACCGGCATGCCTTTGGAATTTGGAAGGAGACCAGAGCTCTCAGTGAAAACCCATATGAACACACAGGAGAGACCCCATCCTAATTGCCTCACCACCACACCACCGATCATCACACTTCATCTCTCTAAAAGAAGACATTCTCTTAATTTGACTTTACTGTTGTAGGGGTTTTGTGCATTTACTGGGACAATTAATAATTGTAGCAGTAAGTCACAAAATGATTCTTTGATGGCTATTAGAAAACCGACCTTGCGGGATAACTCAGCAATGCACACACACGGACACTAATACACAACAATACTGTACATTTATGAATACATAAAAAGTGCATATAAAAGAGTTACAAACCAAGAGAGACATACATTCAGTATACCATTCATTTATACCGTTTCGTAAATGAACTTTGATTACTACTTCTACACTAGATGCTCAAAGGCAAGTACATCACTCATAGGAATTAAATTGATATCAACTGGGGCTGAGGTAACAATTGAATTCTCGAGCTGTAACACAGAGTGTTGAATACTCATCCAATCTCTGTGCATTCAGATCCCCCGTGGACACAAAGGAACAGCGACAGGCTGTTGCTGCATCCAATCGTTCCCGATGTAGAGCTAGTCCTGAATCCTGAGATTCAGCTGTGGACAGTTCTGACCGTAGTTCACTCGTTGATCATGCGAGCGTTCGCTGTGGGATACGTGACTGTCCGAGATGAGTCTGAGAATGTCCTGGGAGAGCCCCTTCTGAGCCCCGTGCTGCCTGTTTTTTCTGGAGGAACTACAGTCGTTCATTGGTTGAATGTTCTGCGGGCATTCGAGAACCACAAGGGGGTTATCCTGCCCTACCAGTTCCGGATTGGTTGATCGAGGTGGAGGATGAGTAACAATGCTCTCTGACATTAGGGCTGTAAACAACCTGGGATGAGACTCTCCCATGGAGTCTTCCAGACAGTAAGGCGCCAGAGATGACCATTTATTAGGGTGGCTGGAGAATCTCAGCCTTGGGAGTTGTTCCTTATCAGGAAACTCTATCAGATAGAAAAACACCTCAAATGTGAACCAAATGGAATGGCCTCTTTGTGTTCAGCACCACTGAGAAGAGGGAGAGAGGGACTGGCAAGGGAGTAGCAAACTTAATTCCTGTATTATTAATAAACATGCCGCTACACTGTTATATATTTTTCTATGAGTTTCTGATTTAATGTAATATCCTAGCTTATTAAGAAATGTCAAAATATAAATTTCAGAAGATCTGCAGATTGTTGCCCTTTCTTAATAGTTTACAATTCAGGTTTTGAAAAATGACTGTGAATGTGCGTAGGACGTAGAATCCTATTTGCTGTTTTAATAAAACAGCAAATAGGATAATGTGAAATTATTGTAAATAGGATAATGTGAAATTATTGTAATTAATTACACATGAAAGTACTGTATATTTATATTGAAGATGAGCCAAAGAGATCCTACTCTAAGTCAAATAACAAGCACAAACTTCACTGTATATTTTGAGAAGTGCAGGACAGAAGGCTTTGCATGCTATGACCTTGTATTTTTATTAATAAAATTGCAATTCTATTGCAATTATTAGTGGTGCTCTGAATTCACCAGTCACACAAATTATTAGGCCTCAACCAAACTTGAAATTGTAGTCAAACTCTCAATAACCTTGTAACTTTTAGCTAACTTTGAAGTTGGCTAGTAATCTTTTTAATACTGATTTTTCCAAAATTCCTTTATTGAAAACCAGTTTTGTGCAACAGTATAACCTGTATTCATTTGAAAAAGACAAATAATACATACACAAAAAATTGTATTTTGTACAGTGCCATCGTTTAACTAAAGGACATTCACTTTAGACTTTTTTTTTTACCTCCAACTAATTCTGTGATATCACCATTTGTTCTTCTTTGATGGATTATCCCCTTTTTAACATAATTCATCATTACTGCTTCCAGGCAATTTAGGTTTTAATTAGTCAACTTCTGTGTCTGCTGACTGGCTTAGTAATTATTATTGGTTAGGAGACATGCCTGTGCCATTCAACTGCCCTCAGTTTCCTGTCTCCTTTCTGCCTTACAGCTCTTTTCAGCTTATGGCAATGAATGATAATACAAACAAGAGAACAAATGTTGTTAAATAAGAAAGAAAGACGGTTACTACAGCAAGCACTACTCAGATTTTAAAACGCAGAGTGAACTTACACATTTCTTTAATGGTTTTCTTTCAGCTGCGAAAGGCTGTGATGGACCACATCTCTGACTCCTTCTTAGAGACAAATGTGCCCCTGCTTGTGCTCATTGAGGCAGCAAAAAGTGGCAATGAAAAGGAGGTCAAAGAGTATGCCCAAGTCTTCCGCGAGCATGCTAACAAGCTAGTCGAGGTAAGTTGTTCATTTTGTTCTATATTATAAGGAGCCAAATTATCACACACCCCTCATAAATTGAGCTATGGGGAAAGATACAAAAACAATTTACCTTTTTGAATTACATTTGTAAAACAATACCTCTAACAAGTGACACAATAAAAAAATAAAGTTTTCAAATTTAATTTTTTCATTAAAAAAACATTTTGTTGCAGTTTGTTTTATTTTAAACCTCTTTATGGACAGTTTAGAAACTACAATGGTGTCATTCAAACTCCATTCTTACTAATCTAAGTTAATCACTCTAGTAAGTAAGCAATACAAAATAGGGCAGTCGTGATGCAAAAGGTTGTAAAATATAGTAAAATATATAGTAAGACATTCCCGTAGAGTATGGGGAATACAATGTTTTGTATGGGACATTTTACGGCTCTCATTACACAGTCTCTCTTTTGTGCAAACTCAATTACAGTGAAAAGTTCTGAAACATAAATTCTGTCAGCTTAAGATCCTATGATGCCTTGAAATATAAAAGGCCTATCATAGCCCAGTTTCATGGGTGGCTGATTTCATTTGGAGTGGTAAAGCAAAAGGTGAACATGCTGTTTGTGACCAACAGAAAGCAGACTACAGAAGGACAAGGGAGAATTCATGCACCTTTTTACAATACCCATGAAAATATTTAGTAACTCAAGCTATTTCATGTTGTAATGTCATTACCAAAGTCATAAGTGAAAAAAGTTTCGTTGTAATAAGATACTCAGTGTCCTAAACATAGTGTGCATGAACAGCCACTGAGATCTGTTGTAGAGAGTTGATCTGTTGTGAAGATGCTCCACATCTAATTGTTCATCATCCATTGTTCCCACTGATCTGTATAGGACTGGCAGCATGTCTGCAAGGTATCTATCACAGATCTCTAAAAATGTCTCTGCTGGATTTCAGTCATGGTGAACTGAAATACTTGAGTTGGATGGCTTCATTATGCACATCTGCAGTACAATAAGTCAATAATTTTCTTTAGTCAATAAATGAATTAGTCAAAACATTATTCGCATATGACAACATATCCCCTTATAAGCAATGTTTTAAAACCAGCTGCGCAAGAACTCTTTCTTAAAAAGTATTTAGCAGAAAGAAGACAGCTTTTCTTTTAAGTCAAACACCTGTTAACTGTCACATCAGTTTCCAGGCCAGATTGTCTTGTGCAAATGTTATCCCTAAAGGGGAACATCTCTTTTGGGGACTCTTGTTTGAATACGGTTGTGAATCTGTATTTAGCCCTCCGTATGGCTAATTTAAAAATGTGCTGCTACATTCCCCTTTATTTAGATGGGTAGTGAGAAAAGTGGGTGCTGTCAAGGAAAATCACTTTCACAAAGTCACTTTGTGAAAATAAAACTTCCCAAATGCTGGTTCCTTATGATGTCAGACCAACATTTCAAAACATGATGTGTGGGAAAATAGCTAGTATGACCTCTTATACTTCAGCTTATGATTATGTTTAATTATGCAAAGCAAGTCAAACATGATTATTGTTTCTTATTGCACAATGGGGTGTGGACAAAAGCAAAATATATCTTGCTATCTGATGAAAACTAAATAAGCGAGAAAACACATTTTTTTTTATTCTACACATCTGATATTATTTTAGACATTGCTTTTATTTTTATGTGGAAAAAAACAAACACCTTTATAAAAATGAAAAAGAGTTTATTATGCTATAAAGATACAAAGACTAAAAATACAATTAGCAGAAATAATCATATCCAAATATAAGACTTGGAAAGTAACAAATGCAATATAAATACAAAGCTGTATAAAATATATTATTATTATAAATAATAAAACTGCGCAAATAGTTTTCTTAATTGGTTTTATAATGGTCGTGCTCTTTTGGTCTATATATTATTTTGGATACTGTAGTTAACAGTGAAAGTATCTTTTATTTCCTTTTCATTAACAAGTATAAGAACCATGTGGCAAAAGTAATATGATTCATAACATTAACAGTGATTAATTAAAAAATGCAGCATAACATGTATTAATATTCTAATAAAATGTGTCTCCATAGCTAGTTAACTAGTGTTATTCTTCCTATGGTACTTCTTCTCAGGCATTAATTTTGAGAATATTAAAAAAGAGAAATAACTAGAGTAGTGTGGGAGGACTTTCAGTTCTGCAGACCAATTCAGTCAGTCACTTTTCAGTCATTCATTGCTTGATGCTGGCCATCTGATCTTGCCTATCCACTGTACATGGGTTGTACTGCATATTTTTATTCATTTGTAGAGTTACCTCCTTGAGCAATCATTGAGAAGTTGATGATTTTTTAAAATAAAAAAGTGGTATGCACCATTGTACTGTAAATGCCATGAGCACAAATTGTGGTATTTTTCCTCAGGCATTACTTTGTACATATCATTAAAATCCAGAAATGAACAACACAACTATGGCCATCAAACTTGGCAGAATTCAGTGGCATGGCATTATATTCAGAGTAAAGCGATGGCAAAAATACAAAACAGTTGAAAAATGCTGTCATTTTTTTAAAGGTCTCTTTAACTTTTCTTTTAGACTTTTTACTTTTCCGTTATTTAAATATAGTAGAAAACATATTTTCACATAACTTGGGGTGTATATATATATACTGTATGATATTCTGATTTCAGCAACCAGTTTACATTAACGGGCAGCAGCATTTTTAACTTTGATTTAGTCTGTCAAGTTTCTTGTCTCTGTGTAATGTTTTTCTATGTAACACATCTACACATCATAAATGTTAAATGTATCATAAAAAGATCCTATATAAATTTAGGTTATACTGAGTAGTTCAGTTAGATTCTAATAAATGCAAGGGAGAGGCAGGAAATGCGCAGTGTACGTTTGGCGTAGCTTGAGTGGCTGAGGGAGTTGGCAACCTCATTCTAATGGCTTAAAATATAGAGCTGCACAGACTCCCCAAAAGAATGACCTGAAACACTGATGCAGAATCTTTAACTTGTTTATGATGTGCAAGCTTTAGGTTTATGGGATTGGTTTTGATATATGCCCAATATGCTGTGAGCATGTGTTGATCCTAAAAGAGTAACCAGAGTAGTGACCAGCATTGAAGCCGGCTTTAGAGGTAATGTTGAAGTAATGACTCTCTGGTTGATAAATAGAGGCTCGAATAATATAGCTGATTTTGATAGAGCTAGTAGTACACATAGAGAGACTAGTAACAACTGATGGACAAGTTGAGTTTAAAAAAGTAAATAAAAACTCCTTGAACCTAACTGATAGGTCTTGCTTCTCTTGAGTCGGTAGACAATTATACTGCAACTTGAGAACAATCAGAGAGGTCAGGGAGACAGGGATGTAGTCAGTAAAGAAAAGTACTACAAGTAGGGGTGAATTCGAAGGATTGAAGGAAACCGAAGAAGGCAAGTAGGAATAATGCTTCCAGAGTCAGGTCGAAGAGGGAGAAGTGATGGCTCTTTCATGTTGAATGTCGTGATGGGGATTTTGATCCTATGGTAGAGTTTTATTGAGTTTTTCCATGTGTACCAGTAGCAGTGAACTAGCTACAAAAGGATAGAGGTGTGACTTGGAATCAGCGTTGGTTCTTGATTGGTGGCCAGAGCTAAGATCTTGAATTGAAAGGGAGTCAGCAATCTGATCTAAGTATCAGAGAATGCATGCAGCACAGATGATTCATTGTTTGGATGGGGAGACCAAGGTTAATTGTCTCAGGCAATTTCATTATAATATGAGATTTGGAGCTCCATCTTTTGATGATGTAGATTACTGATAAATTGTCATAGCAAATGAGTAGATTTTGGTATCCAGGTGTAACCCCAAAGAATTGTGGCTGTTAACTACTGGGTGTAGTTCATATAGAGCTACTGAGGCATTTAAAAGTGGAACAGTTAGCAGAATGCCATCCGGTAGATCGAGTATTGAAGAGAGGCTGTAGTTATTTAAAAGTTTTAAGCAGAGCGCTTCAAATAGTGAGTCGAAGATTTTTGGGTTGCTATGGAAGACTGTGAAATAGTGTTTTTTGCATCAACAAACCCCGAAAAGGTTCCAGAATTCTGGATCAATAGGATCAGGGTGTTTTGAATGCATTGGAAGTGTCGGCTTTTGAGAGGTTGTCTGTAGATTTGATGAGGTGGTTAGTGTGGGCAACCATTGTGTACAGCAAGGAGAAGTCTAGCCTCAGGATTAGTCTATTGATGTTAAGACTAGAGGATTTATGCAGGGCTGAGAGATCAATGATGAGGCGCTTTTATCCTGATAATTTTCTAGTAGCTCCGCCAATGAGGCAAATTCGATATCAAGCAAACAGGGAACTGATCATTAATCGATGCTTAACTCCTTTGAAAAGGAGGATGTCTGTAGTGATGGGGTTGGAAAGTGCAGATTGTAAATTGGGCCCCTGAGCAAGGCCCTTAACCCCAGGTGCTCCAGGGGCACAGTATAAATGGCTGACCCTGCGCTCTGACCCCAAGCTTCTCTCTTCCGGCCTGTGTGTCTCATGGAGAGGAAGCTGGGGTATGCAAAAAGATAAATTCCTAATGCAAGAAATTGTATATGACCAATAAAGTGATCTTATCTTATCTCAAGAATGGTGATGAGTCTGGGGGAGTAACTGTTGTAACAGAAAGAATAAGGTTCTGGATCCCAAGATGAAGTCAAACAGATGAGTTTATTGCATGCACGGAACAATAAAGCCAAAGTCTTGTTTCCCACAACAAACAACAAAACCGAAGTATTGTTCAATGTGCCAGTACAAACTTTAGGTTTATATAGTCCTTCCTTGCTGCTTCGGACGTCATTCGTTATTATGGTAAAGAGGGGGGTCATGGTATTTGGCCAGTTAAGAGACCCTGGCCAAATGGTCAGTTTAAGATTACGTACCCAGGGGGTTCTTAGCTCGCATCTGGAATCCTTATCAGTTAACCCACTTTCCTGCCATAAACTCCAGCCTTAGAAGTCTAATCTTCATGCAGAAAGGACTTAAAATTAACCCCATC